TCAGCCAACACCTAGATGTGCTGAGGTAAGATTGGGAGAGTAGACTGGGGTTTGGCGGTAGGTAGGGATGTCGTTGTAACTAAAAAGAATGGTGTGTCTAGAGAGACAGATGGGAGGAGACATACAGGAGGATAACCATAGAGGAACTGAATCTGGCATGGATGGAATGGTCCCAAGGTAGCCCTAAGGCCAAATGTAGTTCCAGCTGGGTATAAAGGGCCTGCCACACAAGATACAAGAGGCTAGTTACTTCGCTGCATTTGTGTAATCCCCACACTCCAGAAGTTTAGGCAGTTTATGGCCTGCATAGCAAGACTCTATCTCCAAAAACAAGGGTGGGGCCAGGAGAAGCCATATACAAGGCTTAATATGAGACCAGGACCTGAGAGAGGCCATGTGCTGCGTGGGTAAGGGGAACACACCTGTCCCACTACTGGAGGACACAGGTGCATTCTATCCCTATGGCAGCCACAAAAGCAAGAAGTGAACAGTTTGTTCTTTTAAAAGAACACAGTACAACATATCACCCCCAGTCCATACTCCTCCCCTGTTGTAGAATCTGTAGTGAGTGAGGTGTGAATGGAGGCTTTTGTGTCTTAGTGACTAGCCCCAAGTTGCCCACAGAGCCCCTGAGCCCATACTCAGCTGTAGGTCTTTTGGAACTAGAAAGCCAAGCTTGTAAGTGTCCCTATAGTTAGACATGGTGTCACAAGAGCACTTCCTAAAGCCTTCCACTGTGGTTAGTGGGCAGCTCAGTGTACAACAGCAAGGCATTTTTATCTGCTCCATCAGCAAGTGTTCCTAGGGGCCCTTCAGGTGTGGAGACATGCAGAGGCTCACATTTGCTTGTGGGAGGTGGACACAGAATAAAGGGGTCTCACCAGGCACTAAGTGCCCTGGGGAGCCTGCAGGTTGCATTGTGTTGCAGTCCTATGGAACAAATGCTGGTCTCTGTGGGAGGCCTCTTGTGGAGGAGGTGACTTTCTGGCTGAGTCAGAGGGAAGAATGGTGTCACTGTTCTATTACTGTGAAGAGACACTGTGGTAGTTGGAATGTAATTGGCCATCACCATCCCGAAGGCACTATTAAGAGGTATGGCCTTGTGCAGTAGGTGTGGTCTTGTTGGAGGAAGTGTGTCACTGTGGAGGCAGGCTTTGAGGCCTCATATGTGCTCACGGTACCACCCAGTGTGATAGTCTATTTTCTGTTGCCTGTACACCAACTTGTAGTAACTCCTTCTCCAGCACCTTTTCTGCCTGCACACTGCCATTCTCCCCACCATGATGATAATGGACCAAACCTCTGAAAATGTAAGCCACCCCAATTAAATGTTTTTTTTTTTTTTTTTTAATTATAAGAGTTGCTGTGAGCATGCAGGGCAGTGATGGTGCACGCCTCTAACCCCAGCACTTGGGAGGCAGAGGCAGGTGGATCTCGGTGAGTTTGAGGCCAGCCTGGTTTACAAAGCTAGTTGAAAAACAGCTAGAGCTGTTAACATAGAAAAACGCTGTCTTGAAAAACCAACAAAATAGAGTTGCTGTGGTCATGGTCTGTCCGCAGCAATAGAAACCCTTGCTGAGACAGACACCACGACCAAGCCAACTCTTAAAGAGAAAGCATTTAATTGGCAGCTTGCTTATGGTTTCAGAGGCTTAGTTCATTATCATGGCATCGAGCATGACATCATGCAGGCAGGCATAGTCGTGTACTCCTTGGTGACCAAGAATTCAAGCCTATGAGCCTATTGGGGCCATTCTTATTCAAACTACCACAAATGGGAAGGTCTGGAATGGAAAGCCTCATAGAAGGATGCCACTCTTAGAACAATAGCATGGGAAAGAGGAGGAGGGACATGAGAGACAGGGCCCTCCCTGGC